AGTCCTGGGTGCTGAGGACACAGCACAGCCCCACTGGCCCATGTGTTTCTTCACAGTAAACCTGAGGCCAGCTTGATGAATGTGCAGCTTTTGAGGCTCTGGAACTGCATCTGTGTCCTTCTTTAACCCCCAGCCCCCTTGAGATGGAAAATAGAACTCGTCCTGGGGATATGACGCCGAGGGGAGGCGGGGAGACGACTTCCCTCCGATTCCTCTCCAACGCAGACCTGAGGAACAGGCACACCGTTCCTTGGCAGGACAGCTGGGATCCCATGGGCCTAAATGAGGCACATCCTCCTCCTGGGTGTCGTGTGTGTGTGTGGACAGGAAAGCAGGAAAGAAAAGGAAAGTGTGTGTAAGTTACTTTTCTCATTGCTGAGACTGAATACCCAACACTCAAAGTTACAGGAGGAAAGGTTTATTTCAGCTGACAGTTTGTAGAAGTTTCAGTCCATAGTCGGCTGGCTCCAAGGCAGGGTGGCGTGGGAGAGAAGCACCAAAGAGGAGAAACAGTCATGGCAGGCCGAAGACAGCAAAAGCAACAAGCAGCAAGGGACAGCAGCAGCGCTCTTTCTGTCCCTCGTATTCCATCCAGGCCACTTGGCCCAGGTAGCACTCACACCCCGGGTGGACACTTCAATCCTAGGATCGCGCTAGGAATCAATCCCAGCATCACACACTGTAGGCCCAGCTAACTCCCAAAAGCTCCAGGTAGAACTGCACGAGGCTCGGGAGGGACATCTAGATACAAGCCATGGTGGTATGGATGTCACCAAATTTGAGCAAAACACTTGATCACTGAAGAGGTGACAGAATGACGGGAAATTTGGACTAGTAAGATACGTGAAGCAAGAAAGACAGCATTCACCAATTTGGTCGCTGTTTAACGAGTATCTCCTATGGACAGATATGCATGACGTAGCTGGGGGCCCTTCCAACTCCGGTCCGGGGGAGCATGGCACTCGAGAGGACGCGGTACGGGGCTGGGCCAACAGGAGGAGCGGCGTCACACTGTGCTTTGTTGGCAAGGGAAGGCAGGAGTGGAGCCGGTGGGCGTCTAGAAGGCCCCCTGGGACCTTCCCAGAATGTTAAGCAGGAGGCAGGCCATGGCCTGTTATGCTGTGGAGATTCCACTTTAGACCCAGGACATTGTAAAGGTGTAGAAAGCTTTCCAGGAGTGTGACCACCATGTGACTGTTTGACAGGAACAGAGGAGCATTTTGGTCACCGAGCCGAGCAAGATGGCGGCCTGAGCAATGGGAAGGTCAGTAAAGAGACCAGGCCCAAGTCAGAGAGGGGGACCCACGTGGATGGTTGGGCTCCGTGAAGTCCGTGGAGAGACAGAAGTGGGACATGAATGTGTGGGTTCAAATCTCAGGTAGGAAATCGGGACTGGACAGGGAGACAGAACCCCGGCAGCAGATGCAGCCCCCCGGGGTGGATGTGCTGCCTTTCACCTGGCACAGGCAGCGGACATGGTTTGTGCAGATTCTGAGGCTCTTCGGATTCATTTGTTTACCTCAGTGACGCTTGGTTCCTCTTCCAGCTGCATGGCCTCTCCAGTAGCAGCCTTGGCCACAGCGGGAGGAGGGATGTTTCCGGGCAGGAAGACAGCACTGAGGGAAGGCCACACATGGGCAGCATTTTGACGTCAGCCAGGACACAGTGGGAGCATCGGAGTACAGCAAGGGAAAGTTCTTCTGGCTCACGGAAAACATTTCCGCAATGCAAACGCTTGACCTAATGGAGAAAGGAGAGAGAGAGCGAAGGAGGGAGAGGTAGTGGGAACTAAACTGTCAGGCTGGCTTGCAGAATAACTGTACTCATTCATTTGTGTAAATGCTCCCACCCAGGCCTGTAGGACATCTGAAGAAACCAGCCAGGACCAAATTTATAATTAGCAGAGTCCTTTTTTTGTTCGGAATCAGGACCAGTTTTGCTATTTCCTTAATTGAAAGCAACTAGAAAAATGCAAGCCAGGTCAGGAAGTTTCTGATGGGGAAAGAATGGTGCATAAACAACCACAGACTCCTTGTCTGCCGGAGGCTGGGCGGAGGCTGGCCAGGCGGCCTCTGCTGAGTTTACCCGAACAGACTTGTGTCCAGCAACTCCCAGGAAATGTGAGGTCGCACATGTGCGTTTTGAAACCTCTGTAATTTTTTTCTCCGGGACAAAGACCAAGAAAATCAAGGATCCTCTAGGAACCTAAAAGCTTTTGACAGCCATGAAATAACTCTTTCTCCTCTCTGTACTGTAACTCCCATCCCTTTTATTTCCACTTAATTAGTAATATAATCTGACCATCCTGGGGCTGGATGGAAGGGAACTTGTACTTTTCAGGACCAGTTATATGTCAGGAGGCCAACACCTATGGAAAATAGGTTCCGCTACTTCTGTCTTGAAGAGGTGGAAATCGAGACTTATTTGAGGCTACTCAGCTGGGAAGATAAAGACAAAATTCAGGACGAGCTCTGTTTGCCCCCACATTTGTGCTCTTATACCATCCTGTCCCACAGAAAAAAGAGGTCAAATCTAAGCCAAGCTGAGAGTCCCCTTTTCCTCTCTTCCAGGGGACCCAGTGGTCAACTGATCCCGAACCTTGTGTTCCAGGTCTGGGTTTGGGACTCTTGGCGGAAAGCCCCCATACGCTGCAAGCTGGCAGTTACTTTGACTGAAAGCCAGTGCCTTGGTCACTTTCTCATCCCTGAGACACAATACCCAACACTCACAAGTTAAGGAGGAGAGGTTTATTTCAGCCCAAAATAAACTTGTAGGAGGAGTTTCAGTCCATAGTTGGCTAGCTCCAAGGGAGGGCAGCATGGCAGAGGGGCCTGGTGAGAGGGAGCTGCTCACCGCATGGTGTACAGGAAGCAGAGAGGAGAGGGTAGGTCTCAAGTGTCCCCATCTTGCTCAGCTCGGGCTCTTCTGATGTGGGAGGGCCAGCAAGGTCAGGACCCTTGAACAAGCAGAAGATCAGCGCTGTCCCTACAGAAGCCCAGTGTGTTCCACAGAGCCACTGCCTGCGTGGGCCGTAAAGCCTGCTGCTTTTGGGCTTTGTTCTCTTAATACAGTGCTCCTCCCAGTGCCCTGTCAATGTCACTGAAATCCCAGCTCCTGCTGGAAGTGAAGAGGATTCCTCTCAGTCCTGACATCTGACCCGCAGGTGGGCACTCTGGCCACTTCTTCCTATTGGCCACGGCGGCTGCTGAACAGGGAGAGGACAAACAGCCTGCGCCCCAGCCAAGGGGATGTCGAGCTCTAGCACCGCTCCTGCCCAGTTGGGGTCACACACAGACTCTTGGGCTCCCCAGGGCTGAGGCTGTGTGGCCATGTGGCCTAGAGTTCAGGCTCTGTGGGACTCTGTGGACATGCTAAGGTACACGAGGACCAAGGGCCCAGCCATGTGCAGGCCTAGAGTGGCGTGGGGCTCATTTTTCCAGAACATTCCCTCGTGGGGGTTTAGACTGTGCTGTCAGGAAACCCTACTATTATCTATTTTTCATCTACTTTTTAAAAATTGTTGAAATGAGCCAACTTCAAGTCACAGTAGACCAGTGCATAGAAAAGCGTTAATCTTCCTGACCGTGATCATTCTTGTCTGTTGCCCTGGTGACTTTCGTGCATTCGAGTCCAGTAAATGTTTATCAAGCATCCACTTCACCTGGGGATCGAGCAGTGCTGCCACGAGCCTGAGCCCTCGTAGGCAGTGTGCACTTACTCGAGGCTGAAGAGTGTGAGCCTAGTAGTGACGGGTGGCGGCTACTCTCCAGGCACTATAGAAATGAGATTTGCACTATTTTTTTTCTTTCTTTGATTAAGACCTCTCCTTGAACTTGCCCAACATAGTATAAAATAGATTAGATGACATTTTTATTAATCTAATCTTCTTGATGGGAGTTTATGGCCTTTGTTGATATGGAAGGAAGTGTGAACATTATTTGGATAATTATATGTCCTTTACTGTATTTTTTCTGTGCATAAATTCATAATTCTGGAAAAGCCCTTTGATTTGCATTAACTGTGTCTACAATATAAAGCAGGGGTTTTGAGTTATGGAGCAGTAGCACATCCTGTATTTCAGGGTCTCTTGGGTATGGTTTCAAGAAGGAAGCTTTTAGGCCAGCATGCGTCCAGAGGGGTCAGCACCAAAGAGACACATACCGCGTCTGAAGGGTATGCATTTTCTGGTGCTATGACAAAGAAAGAGGTTTCCTTAGCTCCCAGTCTTGGAAGACCAGGCAGCCCCGTCCATTCAGCCTCTGGTGACAGCCTCTGGCCGCATCACAACATGGCCGATGCCGTCATGGGGAGAGGGGTAGAAGGATCACATGGGGAGGGAGGAAGTGAGAGGCTGGGGACAGCCTGTGCTCTCTTCCTATAACAACCTATTCCCGAAGGAACTGACTCACTCTTGGGAAGCTTCACCCACTTCAGCAAGACCAGCATCTTTCCACTCATTAAAGCTTCCACCACCTCAACATGCACTGGGAACCAAGCTCCCTGCGTGGGAACTTGTGGGAGACTCACTCACACCACATGCAAACCACAGAGGGTGGGAGCAGCTTGGTCATGTTCATCAGAGAGGAGAAAAAAACACAAGCAGATGAGTTGTGTCTGCTGCCTCTGGTACTCGGCATGGAAGAAGGGTCTCGCCTTCTCTGTGGCTCCAATTGGCAGACCAAGGACCAGACGCGCCGGTTCCAGGAGGATTGGTTCTGGCCTGATGCAGAACCTGGCCACTCGAGCTGCCTCAGGGGGAGTGAGGCCCTCGTCTCTGGAGGAGTTTAAGTGGATCGCTTTGCTCTGATAGATCAGCTAAGGGAAGGAAGCCAGTGTCCAGCACACTTTCATCCCATGACTTTTATGTGTTCAGGCTTGGAGTTAGAGGAAGAACTCATGTATCGCTTTTGTCTTGCTGGTTTCCACGGTGGAGCCTTTGAGAAGTTTTGGACCGTTTTTCTCCAAAGCCCTTTCCGAGTTGTGCATTCTTTCTCTTGCAGGAGAAAATGCAGAGGTGTCCATGGACGTTTCCCTGGCTTACCGCGACGACATGGTCGCTGAGTGGACGGAGATGGCCCATGAGAGGGTGCTGCGGAAACTCCAGTGCACCTTCAACTCCCCCAAGGTAGGGCACCTCCCCGCTGACCTCCCTGGTCCCCGGCGGGTGGACAGATCTGCTCACACTCCGCAGAGGTCCTTGTCATCCTTTGTCGTAACAGAGGGAAGGACAGTGTAGAGGTCTCGTGTCCCTGCACGCGGGGAGAGAACGGAAGGAACTGGAGGGACGTCTGTCTGAGACACACTGTTGTTTCTCTGAGACGATTCCATAAAGCAACTCTCAGGTCTCCCGTTCCAGCTGACCGTGCTGGAAGAGGGTGGCGGCTTGTTTCAGGTTCACTGTCAGCTCTTGCATCTGCTTCGTGGTATCGTAGGGATCGGCACAGCTGCTCGCCGAAGCGTCCACACCATCCCGGAGGTCACTGCGGACAGGGGACGGGGCAGCCAGTGCGGAACTCCGGTTCCACTGGAGACTCGTGTGGCCTGTGACCCGTCCTTAGGGTTATCCCGTGTCCAGCTCCTCCGAGAAGCTGGTTTAGCCGGCCCCTGAGGAAGGTCACGATCCTGCTTGGACAGAGGGAAGCATTTTCTTGTGGGCGGAGTTCTTAGGTTCCTCCTAAGGGACTGACACACGGACAGCACAGGACAGTGGAATGCTGCCCTTTCCTCGGGCCCCAGCCTCTCACGTCTGCACGTCTCTGTGCAGGTGAGGGGAGTGACGGGACCCACCCGGGTCCATGCTGAGCACCACAGCCAGGTGCTTGCTGGGGTGCAGAAACAACCCCATTTTCTTTGTGTGCAGCGCACAACAGGCCAAACCACACTGAAGCGGGTCCCCTGATGATGTTCTTCCTCACTTGCTGTCTTGAGATCCTGAAGCTGCTCCTGAAGGATCTGGACAGCCCTGTGGTCTCTGCCCCACACAGACACCCACTGCTGTCCTCTGCCAGCCTCCACCTTTCCTAGACTTGCTTTTGCTGTCCTTGTAAAGTTAGGATCCTTGGGAAATGTTTAGGAATGGCAGGCTGAGCCTCTGAGTCCCTGCCGGCCTTACCCTTCCTTCCCAGCAGGGGTAGGATGAGGCAGGGCAGTCTCGTGGTCCTAACCCAAGTTAAACTGGAAGACTGCTTGGCCATGTCACACCCCAACCATGTGCCATACACAGCCAGGCAAGCTGGCATGGTCCACCTGAGCCTCAGTGTCTCTTCTGCTAAATGGGGTACTCACACCTGCCTTGGGGGGCTCGTTAAGGGCCAGATGAACTCATGAAACACCGGGTGGCCTCACGACTCACATGTTGCCTGGATGCTGTCCTCAGCCTTGCACTGAGCACAAAGGCTGCTCAAACAGTGGCCACAGGAGTGGTTTTGGAACTGTCCTCGGGGCGTGCTATGGTCAAGACGACGGGCAGGGGCTGGGGATCTAGCTTAGTGTTGCCAGCGCCTGTGTGGGGAAAGAGAAACTAGGGGTGGCAGTGGGGGCTTGTTGAGGGAAGTGGATTAAACCATTTCCCACTGTCCTTAGCAGTGGATTTGCGTCTTTCCCAAGTGGGATGTAACCAAGAGAAGCTCTGGGGCGTGGAATCTCACCCTCTGAAAGGGAGGGCTTGGTTCTCACCCTGAGCACAGGGAGGCCAGGGTGGAGGGGCAGGGACACCTGGTTCTTAATGACAGTTGCGTAATTATCTTTAGGACGTGTTGATCCCTTTCAAGAGAGATATTAAACCTTGAAAGGCGCGAAGGAAATGAATCATCAAGTCTATGCATTTTGATTGTAGTGAAATTTACTCTTGAGTCTGAAGATTAAATGAGAAATTGCTTTAAAGCTTTTTTAGCACCTGGTGGATTGTGAAGTTAAAAAAAAACTCAAGTTGCCACCTGCTGTAATTTGTCCTAATTAGCCTGTCTCTCGTGCGGAGCTCCGGGAGGGGCAGTGGAAAGGAAGAAAGGGAGGAGGGAAGGGTGTTTTCTTTAGCGCCCTAAATACAGGCGCGGCCAGAGGAAACGCCTCGAGCCACAGACTTGTCGCCCGCAGGCAGCAGCCATCCTCAAGGCCAGGCGTCTCCCGCATCCTTCTGGTGTGCTTGTCCCCTGGTGGTAGTGTGGCCCTCTGTGAGGACACCATGGCAAGGGGGAGTGGCCCGGCGATCCTCTGACGGACCTCCTGCTCTACCTGGAGGAGAGAGGGCCAACCCAGGAACTCAGCAGGGACCAGGCAGGCCCGGAGTCAGAGCCTCTGTCTCTGTGCCAGCGCCATGCTGCCCTTGTCCCATCCCAGCTGGAGGCATCTGTGTGGCACAGCTGGACTCAGGAGGCCCAGGCCACTGCCCCGGTTCTGCTGCTGCTTTGGGGACCCAGGGCACCACGCACATGAACTGGTATTAGGTCAAGGGTGCCCATCCCCTCCCCCCATGAAGCCTCACTTTCTACAAATAGAGACGCTGACTATAAACACAGGAAGACTGTCCTGTGCTGTTAGCCACAGAGGGGCCTCAGTCTTTTCAGTGCCAGGATGCTGGATGAGAGCCTGTGCTGTATTTTTAAGACTCCCTGCGGAGCCTAATTCTAGCCCTGATTTGCAAGTGCGAAAGAGAAAGGAGGCTGTGTGGCTCCTGTCTGTAACACCACCACTCAGGGAGGCTGAGACAGGAGGATCACAAGTTTGAGCTTGGCCTGGGCAACTAACTTAGTAAGACCCTGTCTCAAAATAAAAAAGGACTGGGGTTGTAACTCAGTGAAAAGGCCTTACGGAGAGACAGACAGACAGCTATATAGAAAGAATGATTCAAGCTGGAGATTTACTTCAGTGGTGCTGGTGCCTGTGTCGCAACTGCAAGGCCCCAAGTTCAATCCCCGCCCACAGAATGATTCAAGCTGCACCCAGGATTTGAAAAAGAGGCAGAGTCGGGGATTCAGCTCAGTGGCTCTGCCACCTGCCTTGCAAGCACAAGGTCCCAAGTTCGATCCCCGGTACCAAGAAAAAGAGGCAGAAACAGAATTCTTTCCACGGAGCCTTTGTCTTACCTCTCATCTCCGGCCCTACTGGACTGGTGCTTATGACAGACTGGAGGCTTGGCTGTCCTGCCCGCTGGGTGCCGCTGCCCCTCGGCCAAGCCAGGTGTCCGCCTGCCCCCACCAAGCACCCTCTGCCCAGGCTGTGTGTTCTCTGTCCCTGTCACGTGCCTGCCCCCCGGGGCCAGCAAGGGCTGCAGACCAGAGTTGGCCAGAGCAAGTCGGGCCTGTGCTATACAACTCCTGCCACTGTACTGGGCGGTGCTCAGGCCCCTGCCCGCACAGTGCTGCCCAGGAGCTTTCCAGAGAGGTGACCCGACTTCTCCAGTTACAGGTTCAGCCCCCTTCCACCTTCTCGCTGCTCCCTTCCTCCTGTCTTCCCCAGATCCCAGGACTCTCTGGGCTGCTGCTTTTCTGTAGGAGCCATGCAAAGAAGATGCTTTCAACTTCTTTAGCTTCACCATGAAAATAATCAGCCACCATCTGCCACCCCTGGTGGTGCACACCTGTAATCCCAGTACTCTGGAAGGTTGAGGCAGGAGGATCCAGCAAAGTTCAAGCCTTGCCTGGACAGTTTAGTGATTTTGTAAAAGATCCTCCCTCAAAAGTAAAAATGAAAATGGGCTAGGGACGTGGCTCAGTGCAGATGCCCAGGCTTAACTTCCCAGCACTACCACCACCGCCAATAAAATGCTAGTAATGATGATCCCTGGTCATCCTCGGGGAGTGCACTGCATGCCAGTGGGTGCTTCCTGAGCACGTGCAGAGCCAGCTGTCCTCAGCCTCTGTGGTCCTGCTGCCACAGTGTGGATAAGAAGCCCCCAGGGGCCCAGGGTGGTCTGATGCGAGGCCGTACCAGGGATCCAAGGGCCGAGGGCAGCGCTAGGAGACGGACGAGATCTCTGAGACCCTGTGCTGTGCCCCCAGACGCCAGAACATGAGGGCCGCTACTACGAGTGCGACGTGCTCCCCTTCATGGAGATTGGCTCCGTAGCACATAAGTATTACCTGCTGAACATCCGGCTGCCTGTGAACGACAAGAAGAAAATCAACGTCGGGATTGGGGAGATCAAGGACATTCGGCTGGTGGTAAGTGAGCGTCGCTGACCCCACAGGCTGTGACAGCAGGACGTGGCGCCGGCAGGTGCACAGGGGTCCCCCACGCCGGGCATCTGTGTACCCCCTATCTCTGCCGCGACCTGGGCCAGTGCCACTGCCCCACCGGCCGAGATCAGAGTGGATTAATTTGCGCAAGAGATGACAGAGACGGAAAACAGTGCCGTCATTTCAAGTGGGCTGAAGATCATCATCATGACATAAGGTCTCGATGATAGGAGTTCGACCCGGCTCAAGACAAAAGCCAACGCTTTCAACATGTCCCGCCCCACAAGCACAGGTGTGCAAGGGAACACAGGGGCGTTTGAGGTTCTTTCCATCATATTTGTTTAATTAAGGGAAAACACGGAGTAGAACATTTTTTAAATCCCCACAGCAGTCACACAAGAAATAGGCATGTGTTGTAGGAAACTGGGAAGTACGGTAAAGCCCAGAAGGGGAAAATAACCTCCCCATAATGTCCAGCCCCCTACCATCTAGAGAAATAACTTGTTGAGTTTTTGGTCAATTTCCTCCCTTATGAAAAGGTCATATAAGGAGATCATCCTGAACTGACCTTTATTCCTTGCGTTTTCTTCAAGTAAGGGCGTGTTGTGAACACTGTAACTGTACTTTCCAGCACCACCTAGCCTAGCTCTAGCTGCCCAGATGGACCTGAAGGCGTTTGCCAGTCTCAACATATTGGACATCTGGGATATCTACGTTACAGTGAAAACTTTAAAACAATTGTTTGATCATGTTCTTAATGGTCCCCGTAGCCTGAAGGGGCCCAAGTCCCTGCTCTTTCACATGTACTTCTGCAGTGCTAGAGGAGAGGTCAGAGGGTATCTGAGCGTGGCCCACGCCAGGCTTAGCAACACTTTTGGTCTTGAAAGTTGGGCCCCCAGCTTTGCACTCATCAGCCCCGCGTGCCTTACACAGTAAATAATAATAATCATGCAAAGATATGTTCTCCCCCAAATGCTGGTTGTGCCCGTCTAGGGAATCCACCAAAACGGAGGCTTCACCAAGGTGTGGTTCGCCATGAAGACCTTCCTGACGCCCAGCATCATCGTCATCATGGTGTGGTACTGGCGCAGGATCACCATGCTGTCCCGGCCCCCCGTGCTTCTGGAGAAGTAAGAGCCCATTCCAAGCGCTCTCGGGGCACACGGGGTCCCGGGGCCTGCTGGGCGCCTGCCCGTGCTGGGGCCCAGTCCCTGCGCCCCTGTGGAACCGGGGTCGGGGTGTGGCTGGAAGTCACCCTCGGGGTTCTGCGCCTCTGACATTGCTGTCTTCGCTCCCCATGTCCGCCCTCCGACCCAGCAGAGGCTTCTCTCTCTGCATGGATGAACAGCCCTCTCCCACTGAGCCTCTCCGTCACCCAGAGAAGGACCACGCTCCCTCTGCCACAGCTGCTTTCCTTCCCTTCCGCCCAGTCGCTTCCACTGAAACATGAACGTGCCCCACCATCTCCCGTTCCTGGACCAGACTCTGCTTTTCCACTTCCTCCCTTCCGCTGCACCCTTTTCCTCCCCTTCTTGCAGCAAGAACGCTCCGCATCTCGGGCACTTGCCTTCTCTCCTGAGCCTATGGCAGCCTGGATTCCTCCCCGCTGCCCCACAGGAAGGGCTCCTCACCGCGTCTTCAGTGGCCTCTGCAGGCCCCGCGCAGGGCCTCTCTCCTGGACCACATCCTTCCCACAGCCCGTCCCTCCTCTCCTGACCACCGCTGCTCTGCACGACGCTTCCCTCTCATCTTTCCAACCTCCGCACCTTAAGCCATGGCTCCACAGGGCGCCCCTTCCCCATCAGCTGCGTTTGCTCCCCAGCAAGCCCACCTGGGTCCGTGGGCTTCGAAACCCTCTGCCTCTGGTGATGCCTAACCTCCACCTTCAGCCTCAGCCTCTCCCAGCTTCACACCCACACAGTCCAGCTGTTTCATGGGTGCAAAGAAAAGCGCTTGGTTTTTCTCTTCTTTCAAACCTGTTTCCATTTTTCCCATTTTAGCAAATGGCAACCCCATCCTTTCCGTTGCTCAGGCTTGAAAGGTGGGAGTCACCCCATCGGCTCTCTCTCCCTCGCTCTCCGCTCATCTAATCCACTGGGCAACCTCACCGCCTCTATGGCTGCCGCCTTAACCTCACCAACCACCGCCACCTCTCCTGGCTCACTGGAAACAGCAGCCTCTGCGCTCCTTCCCACCCCACCGCTTTCTTCCTGGTCCCGGGCCGCCTCACTGCTTCCTCCTGGGCGTTCATCAGATCGTCACCCTTCTGCTTCTCATCTTCTCCCTGGTCTGCAAAGCCCCTAAGGCTCTGGCCTTTTGCCACCTCTCATCTTACCTCCTCTTCTCTCCAGCTGCCTTGGTGCCTGGCGTGGGCTCCCCCAGGGCCTTTGCATTTATTTGCTGGTCCTTTCCAGGTACCTGATGTTTCTCATCCTAGAGACGTTTTCCTTTCCGCCTTCTATAAAATCTCACCCCGGTCACTCTCCATCGCTGACCCAACTTCACTGCTCTTCAGAACGCGTGCTCCTCTCTCTCCTCACCTGCAGGCTAGCTTCTTTGCTTATTTAGCTCACGATTGTATCCTCCATGCCTAGAACAGACACCAGACAAAGGAGTTTAATGAACGTGTGTTGAATGCACAGTTCAGTCATGGAACTCCATTTTTAAACTTATTGGATTCCCAGTCTCCTCAAGATAAATTCAGATTAGTCTCCATTTCTCGGGGCTGCTGTCCTGTTATTTCCTGAGCTGGGCTAGGTGTAGATCCTCAAATCCTGCAAGCTCTCCTGAGGGTCTGCGGCTCTATCCAGGCCCTGCGCACTTCGGTCACTAGGAGCTCAGTCTCTGTCCCTCCTGGGAGGCCAGACCTGGCACAGCCTCTGTGTGCTGCACTGTGGAGAGGTCACTTTTCGTGGTCTATTCCGTGGCCTTTGTCTCCCCCACTGAATGCATCTCCATGCGGCAGAGCTGTCCACTGGGTGTCCATCTCCTTGCCCCATTCCTGGCACTGGGTCTGTGCTTTGTAAGCCCATGGACCATATATCGTGGGCATGAAAACATGGGAAGGAATCAGTGATGTAAGCGTGGTGCTTCCACAGAGAAGCGGCAGTTGACAGTGTGACCACGAAAATCAAACTAAACCTTCAACAAACAGCAAGAGAGTTTGTATTTCCGAAGTGTTCGGCGCTGTTTATTACTGAGACACACGGGCCTGAGCAGCACACAGTGACTAAGTCCATCACGATAAGAACGTGCTCTTAACGCCCAGGTTCATGATGTCTGTGCAGAGGGGAGGACAAGTCCCAGGTCTGTCTAAGAATTTCAAGGGCGGGGGCGGGAACATTGTCGGAGGTGCCCAGGTAAAGCATGGCATGACCGGCTCTCCGGGGCCTTCCCTTCCGCAGGGTCATCTTCGCCCTGGGGATCTCCATGACCTTCATCAACATCCCCGTGGAGTGGTTCTCCATCGGCTTCGACTGGACCTGGGTGCTGCTGTTCGGGGACATCCGACAGGGCGTCTTCTACGCCATGCTGCTGTCCTTCTGGATCATCTTCTGCGGCGAGCACATGATGGTGAGCTGCCCCAGAAGCACAGGACGTGGGGACCCTGGCCGCGTGTCCCTGTCACCGCCTCGCTGTGACCGTGGCGAGGCAGAACAAGCTGGGGTGATGGGAGGGCGTGGAGCAGCCAAACCCTCTGGTTCCAGCTTGCCCTGCAGGTGGTGGAGTGGCCTACGACAGGGGAGGTAACCCGAGGCTCCTGGTCTCGACGGTGTCACCTGCAGGCCTTGTGGGAAGGGTTTTTGTGAGAACTCAGAGAGAAACTGAGCAACCGGGGAGAAAACGAAACACAAGTCCTAGTTACTGCTCTGTTTCTTGTCCTTCGGCTCAGCTTGCTCGGCCTGCCCCTTGTCCCTAGTCTGCTCAGCCTGCCTTGTCCCTTAGCTGTAGGGAATGCTGGTGGCCTCACTCCCTGCAGCCGGCAGTCTGTCATGTGACCCAGTGACCCCCTGGCCCCTGCACCACTCACCTTGCACGGACATCTGGTCCTAACTGAAGAGAGAGTGGGGCACCATGTATAAAACCAAGAAAGGTGCCACCTTCCCACAGTGGCTCGATGTCCCTGAACCCGGTCCTTGTCTCTGTGCGTGCTGTCGTGGTGCAGTGGACTCTCTCAAGTCCGCAACGGCCTGATCATAAAGATCAGCCTGCTGCAGCCCACTGCCCCTCTCGGAGATGGGGCTTTGTCCCCTGCCAGACTGCACGCGAGGGGGCTTGTACTGTGAGGGTCCGGGACTGAGCTCTCAGAACCAGGCATGGCCCAGCTGTGTCTGGGGAGGTGCTGGGCATCAAACCCAGGGACTGGTGCAGGCTAAGCAAGCGCTCTGCCTGCATCCTCCAGCCCTGAGATTCGTCTTTTGTTTTGCTCACCCTACATTCCTCCCTCGTAAGGGATCACTTACGCTGGGCACACTTAGCCGCTGTGATTAATATCTCTGTCTTGTCCTCTACGGGATCCTTCACAAGCGAAGGCTGTCAGTCCCATGCAGATTTCACCCTGAAGCTTTATCTTAGAGGCCACAGAAGCTCTCTTGCCTCGGCTGCTGCTGACCCTTGTGTCCTCGTAGTGCCTTGGCCTTGATTTCCATCCCAGCCCTTAAGGATGGGCTCTGTCACGGTGTCGTCTTGTTGCCCTGGAGCCGGTTCGTGAAGAACAGGCCCTCTGCCTGGCTCGCACTGCACTCACTGGCTGGAGTCCGGCTCCAGTGTCCCACGTGCCGTGGGACAGGCTGGCCCCTAGATGTCCCTCCTGCTCCCCTGGCCTGATCTCCTCTCCACATTCCACCTCCTGCAGGATCAGCATGAGCGGAACCACATCTCCGGGTACTGGAAGCAAGTTGGCCCGATTGCTGTGGGCTCCTTCTGCCTCTTCATATTTGACATGTGTGAGAGGTGAGCAGGCGCTGTGGGACTTGGCACGGAAAGGTGACCACCTCGTCCCCTCCCGTCTCTTCTACAGGGGGATTTGAGAAGAAGGGCTTGGGAGCCTTTGGGGTGGAAGCGTTGGGTGCAATCTCATCCTCAGCTCAGGACTGGGATGCAGTCAGAGCCGCGGCCTTGTTGGTTTTGTTTTCCCCCAGCACCAGGGTTTGACCCCCGTCCTTGTGCGTCCCCAGCCCACGCGTAGCCCTTTGGAGTCTTGCTGTCTGAGCTCTGTTTTGTGGTCTAAGTGCAGCTCCTCCTCTGCTGCTGGAGAGCTAAGCAAAGTCCTGCTTTGCCGCGGTGATCACACCCTGCCTTTCCATCTCGTTTCTTTTGGCTTCTGTTTTTGTAGAGGCGTACAACTCACCAACCCCTTCTACAGTATCTGGACTACGGATGTGGGGACGGAGCTGGCTGTATCCTTCGTAATGTACTCGGGGTTCTATTTGTTCCCATAGCTGCTGGGGCCCCAAGATCATGTTTCAGAGCTCGGCTAATATTTTCCATATGTGCACAGCCAGAGCTTTGATCCCGAGACCAGTGATGACGGCATAATTAAGGCAAAGATGACAAGAATCACTGCTCAAGCCTGGCTCAGAGTGGCCTGGTGGAGGAGCAGAGATGCTGGTTTTCCCCGCAGCTGGTCTAAATGATGCCTCTAAGGTGCCTCTCAGGCCGCAGTGGGAGAGCTTTGCTTCTGGAGGCTCCAGAGTGAGACACTCGGGGCGGTGGCCTGGTGCCTGGTGCCTGCAAATGAGCTCAGCCCCTCTCCATCCCTGAGATGGCAGGGAGTCAGGGCTGAGGTGATTTGTTCCGGGGAGGACCCAGGCTCCTTCGTGAACCAGAAATGACAGTCCTGGCTTATCCCTTTAAGGATGCTGGATTTAAATATTTTATCTCCTGGATGACAGCAGGAGCAGGGAGGAAGGCTGGGCTCGCATTCTTCCTGGACCCCTCATATCTGGCCTGATGCTACCCAGCATGCTTTGCTGGCCCTGAGGGTTGTGTTGATTTCTTAGTGTCACAAGAATGTTGTGACAAATGAAATGAGCAGTGTCCTTAGCCTAAAGATGACAGGTTTCTACCCTTTCCCACCACTACCCCACTGCCACCTCCAGAAAATGTTGGCTGCACGACAGGGGAGCATTTATAATGTCACATTGGTTCCACACTTGCATTTTGATGTGGAAGGAAGTCTAGGAAGCAAGGGAAATTTCACAACTTGCAGAAAAAAAAAAAAAAAACACATTTCTGCTGATCACAGAAAGAAGAAAGTCACTAAATATACAAGTTACTGAAATATGAGGTATGATCAAAAAAATGTGTTGAATGTCTAATTAAAAAGTTTATTACAGTGGAAGACACATGAATGCCCCTCAGGATCCTCCTTCCTCGATTCAAACACACCCCATTGTCCTGGCCACTTTCTGCAGCAGCTCTGGAGCCCTCTTTGCTGAGTCTTATGACGAGTGATCAAAAATACGGTGAATGTGGCTGCCCAGTGCCATTCAACAGAAAAGTGGCTTGGAAAAACATGACGCTGTGTTTTCATTCACCTTACTCCCCGGATCTGGCACCGTGTGACTTCAGCTCTTCCCCAAAGTCAGGACGACCACAAGACAGACATGTTTTGAGTCCACTCAGGACATCGAGGCAAAGACACCCACAAACAAGAATTTCCAGAGCTGCTGCAGAAATCGTCAAGAACAATGAGATAAATGTGTTTGAAGTGAGGGGATTCCTGGCACTGTGTCTTTTACTTGATACATTCTTAAAATTTAAACACTTACCGGACTTTTTATCTTACCTCATATGTATGCTGTGTCCACCCTTGTTAAAGTGTTTTTTAAAATATAAGCAGTTTGGGCCAGGCTTGTTACCACGCAGGTGAGCTGGAGTTGAGCCACTCGCCTCCTGAGCCGGAAATGCTGTCAAAGTCTGGGTGGTTGTCGGACTGGCGCCTAAGGTGGGCCTCGGCGCCTCTCAGCGGGTTTGTAGCGTACTGTCCCTGTGCCCAGCTCCACCCTTGCGACCTGTCCTTCGGCTTCCACTTGATGGGATTTCGGTGGGCAGCACTGACCACAGGACTTCGTCCTGGTTTGACCTGAAGGCCTGCAACCCCAGGCTGGTCCTTGGCAGTGGCTGTCCTGGGCCCTGCTCATGGTCCCCTTACTCCATGCATCTGGGCCTGGTCCTCGGAAGAGGCCACAGCCAGCCCAGTGGGTGCCAAATGCTCACCTTGGTTTCCCAGCCTGGGAAGCGATTTGGGCCACTCTGTGGAACGGCTGTGTCCGAAGACCTCTGGATGGATCCGTGCCCTTGGGAAGGTTTCCATATTTTTATCCCCCTCAAAATTCCCTGAACACCTGGAGACCAAATGGGCCCGCGTCCCCAGCCGGCGCGCCTCTTCCTTGACCGCACGTTGTCAGATGGCCTTCATCATCGTGGCGGGGATCTGCCTGTGCCTCTACTTCCTCTTCCTGTGCTTCATGGTGTTCCAGGTGTTCCGCAACATCAGCGGGAAGCAGTCCAGCCTGCCCGCCATGAGCAAGGTGCGGCGGCTGCACTACGAGGTGAGCACCCGGGGGCCCTGGCTGTCCCAGCTCCGGCCAGGGACCTGGCAAGGCTTCCCTTTCCAGTGCGCGTCTGAGAGGCTCAACACGGCAGGCTGGGCCTCGGCCTCCTCTGGGAGGCGCATAACCGGCTCCCTCCTGGGCTTCCCTGGGCTGTGAAAGCGCCGGCAGGTTCTCCAGCCCTGGCAGAACGGAGGGGCTTACAGAGGAAGGGCTGGACTGCAGCAGCACTAGGGTTTGGCCCGGACGGGGGCTCCCCAGACCCTGCTCTGGGAAATTACGGGTACTCTCTGGGGTTTGTCCGTCCCCAGAGCTAGTGACACGTGAGAAAATTCAAGCCCGTCCACTTCCTGTTGACGAGCATAGGTAGTTCCTTTTGCTCACTGGAGCACAATTTTATTACTGCTGGGGAAACCTTGGATTTTGAAGCTCTGGACCCTTGCAGAGAGCCCTAGCCAGCTTAGCGCGGAAATTAGCGGCCTCCCGGTGTGTTAGGAACACAATTGCCCAGGCTCTGCTAGCACTGCTTCATGAGAGATAAGAACCCGGGAAAGAGCCGGCCACGCTCCCCACAGCGGGAGAAATATTAGGATGTGGGATTCTTCCTATCTCTGTAGGGATTTGGTTTTACAGAGCTCTTTCAAATTAGCTTTTCTTGGATTTCTACATGGAGAAGAGGCTTAGTGAACTATTAATCATGCTTCCTCTCTTCCCGAACAGGGGCTGATTTTCAGATTCAAGTTTCTCATGCTGATCACCCTGGCCTGTGCCGCAATGACTGTCATCTTCTTCATCGTTAGCCAGGTAAGGGACCCTGGTGAACGCAGAGCCCCCGGGCTCCCCTCACATGTGCAGGTGCAGAGAGGCGGTGCCAGCCACAGGGACGACTGACTGTCCTTTCAGTGCGGCCTCCTAGATGGTAATAGTAGCTAAATAAATTAAAACCCTGCAACCAGACTGAAGCGCACATGTTCTTGTTTGTTGGCTTTTGTTTTTTTCTTGGTAATGGGGCTCGAACTCAGGACTATGGGCTTGTGAGGCAGGCAGCAGCACCACTGAGCTACATCCCCAGCCCTGAAGGGCACATGTTTCATTACTGAAGAAAATAAATGTTGCAAGCAAGCCCTGCAGCATTGTACTAACAAGTGAGAATTAATTTGATTGGATCCTTATCCGGTATTAACATTGATCCTTTTACAGCCCACCAGCCATTCTTTGGAGTAATTGCATTGCCGCTTAAACGGGTGTGTGATTCAAAAAGCCCCACTGATACAGCCTTATCTTTGCATTGGTGACTTCCCAAACTCAAAATGTCAGCTGTACTTGAAAATCTCAGGATAATAAAAGTAATTGAAAAGCACTGGTAACGTGCGTTGGAAAAGGGATAGGACTGCTGAAATCTATCATAATCTGCATCTGTCATTCTTCTGAGCCTCACAAAAGTCCTTTGAAGGAAGTAAGGTAGGAACCGTTGTGTCCGATTTGCCCGAATGTAAGATCCACTGGTGTTGGAGACATTTCCTCTTTCTGCTGTGTCCGGGCTGCCTGGGAAGGTATGTGGACTGCTTACGAGTCCTGGGGTTTAACTTTTCTTATTAAGCAATAAGAAAGTGATAGAAGGTCGCTGTGAGGGTCACAGGAAGTGTCCTGGAAAGTGACCGGCACAGCCTCTGGCTCATCCCAGGCATAAAGAGCTCCACTGTGTGAACAGCAAGACCACTGCGTGTGCCGCTGAGAGAAGACCAAGCTGAGGGCTGGAACTTGCTCCTTCTGGCTCCTCCGGGTGCCCCATCGTCTGTATTCGGCTGCCACGGGGAGTCGTGCAGGGCCACATAGAGCCGTAGGGTGAGACTGGCTTCATTCTGTGGGGAGGTTTCCCTCCAGCCCAAGAGCTCCCTGCTGACCCCCTCGACCCCCTGGCAAGGGCTGTGGGTCTCTTCGTGGAATGCTGCTCGATAAAATACTTTCAAAAGAAATGTCTTTTTCAAAGACAACCTCGTATCTACATTTAGGTATAATTTACAAATGCCTACAATTACAACATATGTAATTATATGCATTATAAATGTTCCAAGTATGTCACAAATGTGTATCTTCAAAAACTAATTCACGTGAAAATATCTCGATTTCTTCTGACAAGGAAATCACAGGGCCCATACGGCAGGCGTTCGTAGCCTACATTCAAAATGGAGGGAAACACTAACTTTCAGATAAGACCCTGAAAATGAAAGTAATTTTTTCCAATCAATGTTCAGGGACGCCCCAGTTCCGTCCAAGGGAAGCCCAAGTTAGGAGGCCTGGAGCCTGGCCCTGGGGTCACTGCTGCCAGCTCTGCCTAAGGCTGAAGCGTCTCCAGGTCAACAGTTCCACTCCAGGCGGTCCAGTGCTGTGCCAGCCCAGCCTGGACACCTCGTCCCCGGCCCGAGTCTGCAGAGCCCCTCCACCCCACGTCCTCAAGGTGGTGCCTCTTGTCTGAGTTTAACCTTGTGTGTCTCTTGTACGCTTTTGAAAGCAATGGAAGCCATCTGCCAAGGAGCCTCGCTTGCAGCTTTCCTTTAGAGAAAAAGATTAACACCCCATGCCCCGGCATCTGGCTCAGGCCTGCAGCTGGCTTTTTGCATCCTCTGCGAGCGTTGGCCTGGAGTGGATTTTCCATTAGCTCCTCACATTCCTCCTGCTGGGGTTTTTAAGGTTTATTTATAGACATCTAAGACATTTTCCAGTGTAACTTTCAGTGTCCCCATCCTGTATTAATATAGTCAGTGGAGGATTTATCTTTTAATATCATTTTGGAATGTCAGAGCCATGAGCTCACCTGAAAGGAAACCTATTGGGTAACTTTTTTGAAATGGATCCCAGCCTTAGGTAAAAGGAATGTTTTAAAGCTCCTATTATACTCGGCTGGCTGGGAGAGCTGCATTTGAGCCCCATGAAATATAATGCAGGGGTGGGCGATCGCGCAGGAGGCAGGGCTTCGAGACCAGGAATGGAAGGCCCAGGGAAGCCGCGGAATGCGGGGACCTTGGGGCTTTGTGGCTGGGGACAGAGGTGCAGGCTTTCAGTGCCTGCCATTCTGACGGCCTGGGTCATAGCAACCAAGGGGTGCACTGGTCCTTCACTCCTTCCCCTTCCAGAGAAAGAGGTGCTCCTTCTTGAGGAGGTGTCCGCAGGGAACAGAAGTGCTGTGTCGGGGACAGGGGGACCCCAGGTGCCTGGCATTCAGGTCAAGCCACGAGCAGCAGCCCCCCCGCCAGCCCATTCCAGCCCTTTTGTGTGTGTGCAACCACTTTATTCTGTGACTTACAGCAGCGGGGCTCCCTCAAGCAGCCAGCCTGTCTGGGCTCTGCCTTCGGTGGAATGCTGGTTGTCAAGACTACTGGGTGTGAAGGGAATTGACCTCCACTGGCTTCGGGGCTATAATTGGATGGTTTCACACGAAAGTACATTGTTGAAATGTAAAATGAGGAAACATAGGGGCTTTAAGAATTAAGACTTTTACAGAGAATGATTTTTTTTTTTTTGGATGGTGCTACCTGATTTTTTTCTCTGAAAGTTCAGGGGGGAAGACGGACCCCGCTCTTCCTGACATCAGGCAGATTTGGGGCCCACAAGGCCTGCTCTATGGCCTGCTCGGGCATCGTGAGAGAACAGAGGGACACAATCGGGTCCCCTGACGGCGCAGTCTTGGCAGGACACCGTACCTCCGTGTACCTCCAGGGGAAGGGAGGCGACACCTACATAAATAACACTGTTCCCGGAAAATGCTCAGCCCAGTGGCTGGCACAGCATGCACACTGAGTAAATGCTAACTATGGTCATCCTTGCGGTTGGCACAGAGAATCTTAGCTTTGTGGTAACAGCTGTGTCAACTGCTGCTTTGTGAGTCAGGGAGCGCAATGAAGGTGGCATTTGGGTGAATGAACACTGTCACCCCATCTCAGGTACAATGACTGTGATCTGCCGTGGGTGGCAGTATGTTCTTTTCACTTCTCCGCCCGATGTTTCTGTACCCTCTTCCCTCTCTCCCTGTGCTTGTGCTGGGGTCCCTGCAGACACCATCGGGTACCAGACCCTCAGGCTGGTGTTTCCTGACCTGGGGCGGGCACAGCAATCCACACTGAGCCTCCCGCTGTGCGCCCAGGGGTGGCAGTGTGGCCCCACGGAGACACCACATCCTGTCACGCTTGCAGCTCGGTCAGCCGGGCTCCTCTCCTTCACCCGCCTCAGCACAGCACCCATATTCCAGGCACTACCTTAAATCTTCGTTCCCCTCCACCGTATGCATCAAAAATCATCGGGAAACGCCCCGAGCACAACAGTTTATACAAAGCTAGGCTATTCTGTGCTTCAGGGCAAGAAGAGTGACATTTGGAGACCTGTGAGGAAGCCATAAGTAGCTCGGATGCCGATGCCTGGGCTGTCAGTGGTGTTATAAAACACTTCTGGATATTTCATATAAAGTAGATTATTTGCCAAAATAAGAGTTCATAGTGCTGTTTTTTTTCTCGTGAGTCACACAAAATGAACAGTTACCTATCTCCCAAGCCAAACTCAAACTGGTCGCCCCACAGTGGGGTCATGGGCTCTCTGCCTCCACAGATGGAAACACTGACCCTACTCCCAGCTGGCCTGCGGCCCAGGGGCTGACTTTGTCTTAGCCACTTTCAGACACCCAACACCCACAACTTAAAGGCAGAGGGACACACTCTAGCTCGCGGTTTTTGTCCTGAGTGGCTGGCTCTGGGCCGTGGTGGAAGGTCCTGAGAAGGAAAGCTGCTTACGTCATGGTGGGCAGGAAGAGAGGAGTCGGGGAGGGAGGTGTATCCCCCAGAGCAAGCCCACCCTGCACTGGCACCGCCTCCGGCCAGACTCTCTTCCTAATAGCACACAGCTACGGGCTGACCCACAGATGAATCGACACCCCGTGATCCATCTGTCACCTTCCCACAGCCCTGCCTCGGGGCACAGCAGCCTTTGGGGGACATTCTAGGCCCAAACTTAGCGTGAGCCTGTTGATGCGACCTCCACCTTACTGCATAGAAGTGGCCCCAGGAGCAGGCTGGTGTGACCAACCTCCTGAAGCTGGCACAGAGCCGTTTATCCAGTACTTTCTTTCCTTCCCACTGCAAAGTCCGTACCAAGCAGCAGAGGTCTGAATTATTCCCATGGCCTCTGAGCCAGTAGGAATTACCAGTCACTCAGCTCCAGGGCTCCGGCTCCAGTTTTAGTGTACCCTGTGTCTTAGGCAGCCCCTGAAAGTTATCAGGTCATGAACACAGACAAAGCAGCTCCAGGCCATGCCTTGCAGAATTACAAGCACACAAAAGCTCCCCAATCAGCTTTGTGAGTGACTTACCTAGAGGGATGCTTTATAAATTACTGAGATTTATCGTTTACCACAGGCCACGCAGTTTCTGGAAACATTTTAACTTCATTGCCCGTGACCCTGCAAGTTTTTATTTCACACTTAAGAACCCTGAAGTTCAGAGTCTTCCGTTTTGCTTATCTTACTACACAGTGAATCTGAATGAATCTGTGTTCTTTACACACCCGCGGGGCCCTAGGCAGTGGAGACCCGACGGCATGCGAAAGAGGTGGTCTCACTCGCTGGAGAGGACGACAGAAGGGAGCGGGATTGTGGGCCGATCTCTGAGATTTAGGGTTAACAACCGGCTGCACTTTGCAGGAAGAGATGCCAGGCGCAGCCGGGACAAGAACCGCCCTGGCCCCTCCTCTGACAGGTTTGCCTGATAACGGGCGGAGCTGATGTGCGTGACTCCCCCACCCCCGGAGGGCCCTGCTGCTGGGGGCGCCCGTTCCTGCCCAGTCCCCTGAGTGCCGCTGCTCTTTTCCCACAGGTGACCGAAGGCCACTGGAAGTGGGGCGGCGTCACGGTGCAGGTGAACAGTGCCTTTTTCACAGGCATCTACGGCATGTGGAACCTGTACGTCTTCGCGCTGATGTTCCTGTACGCGCCGTCCCACAAGAACTACGGGGAGGACCAGTCCAACGGTGAGCCTGGGCCTCCGCGGCTGGGCGTGGGCGGCCGGTTTCCATCTCCGGGGGACCCGAGAGCCCCGAATGCACCCAGGAAACCCCTCCACGTGTTCCCGGCTCGCGCTGGGAGACCGTGGCTGGGCACGCGGGGCCCTGGGGACTTGAGGCTCGACACCCACACGAGCCAGGCAGCTCTTGACGTCCTCGTGATTTTAATCTCTAAAATACACCTAGGATGTTTTATGCTATTTTAAAATATGTCCCAGTTTTAGCACAAAAAGGAGCAAATTTGCTTCCCTGAACATTTTGAACAAAATTGCCCATGAAATGCAATTTTTAGCCTTCCCGTATTTAAATAAGTGGACTCATAGTCGTTAAGCCTACCCCTACGCGCCATATTAAAAAAAAAAAAAAAAAAAAACTGATAAATCCAAAGAAGATATTTCACCAGAAATTTCACCAGTTTTGCACCAGAAACTGAAAGCCACCAATGACTGAGACGGAACGTTTACTTCTATGATGAAGACGTATCCAAAACCCAGCGCTTTGGCTGGCAGTGGGCTAGGGCACTGGGAGGCTATTGCTGTGTTAGAAGAACGCGGTGACTGCAGGGAAAAGGAAACTAAGCCTTGTGCTGCCAGAAGCAACTGGTTTCATCCCACATAAAGCACCACGAAGTGGTTGATGTTGATCTGCTTGAAACAGCAGAGCCTTAATTTGGTTAATTGCAAGACATTAAAAGTACAAAGGATAAAACTCTGGCAGCAGATCCAAATTTAGGAGGAGTAGGACAATTTTGCCACAGTATGGAAATGACGCTCTTTATTTTAAAATAACAGAAAGGTAGGTCCAGATCAAACCACTTGATAAAGGAGGCACAAGGATATTAATTTTCAGTGTTTTCTAGTATTTTGAATTGGAGCATACTAAAAATATCAGCCTTGTGTTATTACAAAGCTAGTTTTCTTTTTAACATTTCTAACTGCAAGAGAGTTACATTTTTGACTGCCACCCCCCACCCCACTTGGGTTTCAGCTCGGGAGCTCTACCAATGGCTTACACCCTGGCCCTTTATTTTTCCAATTTAGAGAAGGTCTCGCTAAGTTGTCAAGCTGTCCTCGAACTTGTGACCCTCCTCCTCAGTAACTGGAATTTCAGGGATGCACCACTATTCCTGGCTTTTTCCGACAAAGTTTAGGGTCTGTGAATAATCACACATTTCCTCAGCTTGCGTGGTCAAAGCCAGCGCATGCTAGAGAACCTTCCTAATTACCCAAACATGTCAGATCCTACACACGTGTTTGGTACTCGTTACTTTTCATATTGCTTTTGCATGCTGCTTTATCAAAGCTTTGAACTAAAAAAAATATATATATATATGTATATATATATATATATACATACACATACATACACACACACACACACACACGGTATTTGCCACGTTTAGTCTTCCCACTGGGGAGGTAAGATCCTGTGACACCAACAAGAGCCCAAGCCCTGAGTGTGGAGGTGGAGTGGGTTTCATTTTCTCCTGCTCATTTTCCTTCAAGGGTTGCTTTGGGTTTTTTTTGTTTTGTTTTGTTTTGTTTTGGGGGGGTGCTGGGGATAAAACTTCCTAAGCAAGTGCTCTCCTATGGGCTACTCTCGCAGCCCTCTTCCCAGGTTCCAGAACCTTCTTGTGCCTTCCTGTTGCTGCTCCAATATCTCAGAATCCTGACATGTGGGTGCTTCAGAGGCCTCAGAGAACTAAGGAGGGGAGGCATGAGTTCCTGGGCAAGCCAGAGCGCGGGGCCCTTCTGCAATGCCCCCTGCCTGGCTGCAGCCCTGACCCTCCTGACCTGTGCCCGCCCACCTCACCCCCAAACACGAGCTGTTTCCCAAGTGAGAGGATTGGCACCTTCCGGGAAGGACTCTGCAGTGTGTGGGGTGCATGTGTGCCTCTCTGTGCCTTGGTTAAGGCTGATAAAATCCCACCCACCCTTCCGGACCAGGCAAGCCGCTCCGCTCTTGGGCCCTCTCCTGAGCTCCACAGTTGGAATCCAGCGTGGTGGTTTCCATGAACGTGGTGGGCGTTAGCCGTCAAGTCTGAGTCCGGTGGGTGATGAGCAGGGGAAAGGCGCCCACTGTGCACTGTGTCACTTAAAAGAGACTGGGGTAGCGGCATCTCCTCGGGCCACGGAATCATCTGTCCCCGGAGCCCAATTTCCAGAGGGCGGCCTTTTAAAGCCATTGTCCAACGGAGCAGCCCAGGGCTCCACTTTGCACTGGGTGATCGTATTCAGTGGGCTGCCGAGCCTGACCGAGCTCTCCTGCTGGTCACTCCTTAAGGACAGCGCTGTCCTGTGCATGTGTGAGAGAGATTCAAACTGAGCTACATCCCAACCCTTTCTTAAAAATGGCCTTTAAGAGAGTCTCCGAAAGTCCCTCAATGACCCAGGCAGGGCTCAAACTCGCGGTCCTCCTGCCTCAGCCTCACGGGGCGCCACACCACACCACGCCCGGCCAGGCAGCTCCTTGGAGCTGCCAGAGCCATGGAATGGGAGAGCTGTTCAGGACATGGACGCAGCCAGGACAGCGCAGCTAAAGACAGACACCCCGGAGAGAGGACTCCGGAGCCCTGCCCAGGCAGCTCAGTGACTTAGCGAGACCCTGTCTCAAAATAAAAACTAATTTAAAAAAGGACTGGGAATGGGAATCCCAGCCCAGATCCAAGGCCCTAAGTTCAGTCCCCAGTCCAGAAAGACAGACTGCTACAAACCAGTTTCCGTATTTACAGGCACATAAAATATAAACACACGTATCCAGAGCCCCGCACCTGGGTTCCTCACTTCACACGCAGCTCACTGCAGGCTGGAAGCCTCCACAGCAAGGGCCTGTGCCGCACAGGCCCAGACATGGCCCCTGCCCTGCTCCTGGCGCTGCCCATGTGGCTTCATTTCTCTCACAGTCGGTGTCGGCAGCGGCTGGCGCAGTGTAATGTGCCGCAGACGTGTGGGGCTCCAAAGCGAGGCGCCCTGTACCAGGCAAAGCTGGGTGGGAGTTTTAATGAGCACTTACTACATACTGGGTACTATGCCATGCATTTACTTTCTTAAAAAAGAAAACAAAGTTGAGAAAATATCCACTGTTTTTTTGGTACCGGGATGGAATGCTGGACCTTATGCTTGCGAGGCAGGCAGAGGGATCACCCGGCAAAGTCCCTGGCCTCTAATACGGTAATTATATTAAGACTCAACACATGGGCACGCATGAAACTAAGTAACAGTCCTTGGCTTGAAAATCCTTAGCTGTACAGCTACCAGACGTGCCTTGTTTCTCTCCTGCTATAAACCAGGGACTTCGCGACAGAGCTGTCATTTGAGCCTGGCTTTGGTGGTGGGTGGGAGAGGCTCGTGTGGACCCAAGATGGCTCCATGCGCGTTCTGGGAAGGATGTGGGTTCGGAGGAGACCCGGATGGCTTGGAATCCCAGCTCCCCGCACAGGCTGTGGGAGGCTTTCAGAAGCAGGTGTGGGTTCTCTGGCTTCTCCTCCACAGTAACCAGGTGCTTGTGAGGAGGGAGTCGGGTGCCCTTGTCCCTGTGAGAGGACTCTCTTCTCCTGGGCTCTCAATCTCCTCGGAGCGGGCACAGCAGTTTCCCTTCGTCCCACTGAGCCAGCCACAGGCGCACAGGTGGTTGTCACTAAAGTGCCGCCGGATACAACCCGTGGCCCCCAGGGCTGTGGCCTTCTTGGTCCCCTGACCCCATGGACAGGCACCCTGGCCGTGCCCTTGCAGATGGCATCGGGAAGTGAGAACCCAGCCTCGTGTCCAGGAGCCCGGGTGGCAGCTGTCGCCCTGGGCAGCAAGGGTCCTCACCCGAGGGCCACACCGAATCCAGCTGAACCCTTCTGGGATGGCTCCGGCGTGAGCAGGGAAGAGCCAGAGCGTCCGGAGCCAGGCCTTGGCAGAGGTTGAGTCCTGGGACGGCTGCTGTCCCTGCTGTGCCCCTTTCCCTAGAGAACGATCGCCCCTCAGGAGACGGTAAAGCTACACAGGATCCCTGGATCTTGCTACCTAGGGTCCCACTGACCCGGGTCCTCATGTGGCACATGAAAGAAGTGAATTCGGCCTCATGTCCGCCCTTCTTAGGAGGAAACCAGCAGAGGCACTGGCGTCACAGCTCCCCGCTCCTTCCGGGCGCTGATGCTGAACTTTGAGAGCAGAGTGGACAGGCTAAGCCGTCCAGCTTGTTACGCGTGTGTATTCCCACCTGCAGCTCCTTGCCTGGGGACTTCCTCCTTTGCCAGCTGCAGGAAACTTGAAAACTGACCCAGAGCAGGCAGTGAGCTCGGAGCCTGGGGTCCCAGGGCCCTGGTCTGAATCTCACGTCACGAATGATCTCAGGCCTGGCCTTGAGCAAGTTCCTCATCACCAGCAGACGCAGCAGCGCCTGAGTCAGAAGATGGATACGAGGATTAGTGGGTTAGTATCTGTGCAGTGCTGTAATACAGACACTGAAATGCAGACATCTTTTGTATTTTTTTTTAAAGCAATTTTGGCTGTTTCTCCACGTGATCTGCTGGATCACACGTTTTCTAGGATCTGCAGGTTGGAGTTACATTTCAGGCTTAAAACTATTCCAGGGTGGACAGGGATGGAGCTCAGCAGCACAGTGCTTTCCTGGCAAGCCTGAGGCCCATAAAAACAAAAGCTATGCCAGGGTCCACCTGTAGGAAGGCTTGGTAAGATTTCCTTAGGTAAACACTTCCATGGGTGGTCAGGGCACCTTTGAAATTCTGAGGACCCCCACACAGAATGCAGATCAGGAGCCGCTTTGAAGGGCTGCCCGGATATGCAAATCCAGGCCTGGCTTCCTCGCCAGCCTAAGAAGGAGGCCTGCAGGGTTTCCCTTACCTTTCTGGGAAGAAGCTGCCAAGTCAGTGACCTCAGTGGTTTGGCTTGACCCCAGCAGGCCACCATAGGTCCTGCAGAGAGGCCCCGTTCTGCTGGCCTCCTTGCTTAGCTCACCTAGCAGGTGAGGCTGGCTGGGCTCACTGTCACCTCTTTGGTGCTTTCTTGCCCCAGCCTGAACGCCGCGGGCCGAGGCTTCTGACAGGACAGATCCTGCTGTGCAGCCCTGAGCCAGCCAAGCGGGCTGAGTGTGGGCTGGAGCATGTGGGATCTTGATGCCAGGTAGCAGCCCTAAGAGATCCCCAGCTGAAAGCTGCATCTGTCTGTGCGTCTGCCTGTGGGTCTGTTACCTGTCTGCCTGTGACCCATCTTGATCTAGCTATCTATTTCTGTTCTATACGTTGAACTAGGAAAACTGTCAGCCCCAGGAAATGCAGTTACCTGCACAAGATAAAAACCAGAGATGCGAGCTTTACCATATTCCCCGGTGTCCGTGTACAGCTGTCCACTCCCCGGGCACTGCCACACCTCGGGGACGGCTCTGGGTAATGGTTCATTCTCCTGGCAAATTTACACTCTCATAATTGGCTGAGGGAAAGGGTGGGGGCTACAGGAGCTTGTTGTTTCCTGCTAAGAGGAAAGGCCACTTCAGCCCCTGTTCACAGAGCGCCAGCCTGCCCACTGATGGTGAGTTCAGGACACACTGTGTACCCGATCCTAAGAGCAGGAGAAAGCACCCAGTGCATTTTTGATTTTTTTTTTTTTTTTTTTTTTTTTACTGAAGAAGAAAGGTCCCAGTTGTTCCTCAAGGTGGGAGCTGTTGCAGGGTCTTGGTCGATTCAGGCAGGTCCTCTTTGCCTTTCCATCCTGGACCCAACAGAGCTGCATTGCAAACTGCCCTCAGCAAACATGAATGTGAATGTGCCCAACCCTCCTGTCAGTCGGGAGGTGAGTTGTACTGACTCAGCCTACTGCAAGGACCCAGGAGACTCCTGCCTCGGCCTAATTGCTTGCTTTATTAGGCGGCTGCATACACCTTTTTTACCTCCCAGTTTCTTTCTTCCTCTGTACAGCTGCTGGGATATCAGTATCTGTGCCCTAGAGGGCTCTGGCAAGAATTATTACATAAGATCATGGCTAAAGCATTTAGAAAGTTCAGGCACAAAGTGAGCACTTGTGAAGTGTTAATCACCACCACACGACCTCAGCTGAGAGCTAACACATAGTCACTCAGCTTCTCTGGGAGCCAAGAAGGATGTTAATCCCTGCCAACTGCAAACCAATGGTCCGAGTGGGGCTGGGGACCCAGTACACACCAGGACCGCCCCCCCTTCTCCCCGTGAACACGGCTAACTCTGCCCCTGTTGCAGGTGACCTGGGCGTGCACAGTGGCGAGGAGCTGCAGCTGACCACCACCGTCACCCACGCAGACGGACCCACCGAGATCTACAAGCTGACCCGCAAGGAGGCCCAGGAGTAGGCAGCGCTGGCCCCGGGGTCTCCCAGCCTCGGCGCTCCTGGACCTGGCGGGG